TTTTAATTCCAAATGAGATAGACATTATACATCGCCAAGCTCGAATCGTTTCCATGTTGCACAATGTCGTTAAGAACAGTGCGAGACGTTTCACGTTCATGCGTTACAAATATTTGCATAATTGTATTAATCCATCGATATTTTTCTTTTTTGTTATTTCTTTGTTTATAAAAAAAATCTCAATAGATTCGCATATATTCGTTTATATATAGGTCTGTAATATAAGTATAGATCGTGTCTTTGATTTTTTCCCAAAAGTATATCTCTTTTTGTAAATAATATTTTCGATATTTATCAGAAGCTCATAAAATAGCGAAAACGGACACAGCGAAATACTTGAGCTATCTTGAGATTTTTTAATCGGGTCTGCAAAGTTTCCTAGGAATATAAATGAAGAGACATAAAAAATACATTATACGTTAGACAACAAAATTTTTATGATAGATGACATCATAATTTTACGAATGCTAAAAAATGTAATGTTCTTCATTAAAATGGGAAGATACAGACTGTTACCACGATCGTGAATGAGATATAAGCGATTTTGGAGAAAGCGAAAGCTAAATTATCTAATTTCAAAAAATCCGGTGAAATATATGCGCGAACAAATATAATACATATTTATATAATATACATAACATATTGATACGGTTGCTGAGATATGCAGAATATGAAAGTTGGAAAACTTGGTGTATGTGAATTATAGCGTATATGTAATCTTAATTTTTTGGCACAAAATTCTTAAATTTTATAATACATTTTTTCGTGCAAATTGTATATACACAGTATTTCAATTTTTCCCGCGTATAAAGTTTGTTTTGTCATATTTAATAAATAAAAATAAGAGTAAAGAAAAATTATGAAAACAATCACAATTTAAATTTATCGGTTTTTAAGTAAAATAGCTACAATATTATTACTATTATACAATAATATTAATATTATTTAAAAAGAAAAACAACAAACAATAATATATATTTAAATATCTTGTATAAAATATCATTTTAATATCATCCCTATCTCAATAGCCATCAATTTCAAAGTTTTGTATTAATCATAGACGTGAAAGTAGTTGGACTTGTTCGTATGGTTTAATAGATGCGGATGAACGGATATATCATACGCGGTTTTTAATTACGCACGTTATATAAGAACCACGCCTGTCATTCATTACGCGGCGTTACGATAGTTATTACTTCAGATGGACACGATGATCGCGATGTCGTATAAATGTTGCAATAAAAAGAATTATATATTTCGCACGATTATATATAGGTTGAGAGACTCTAATTCGTTTTTTTAATAGCGAAATTAAATTTCTCTCATATCTTTGAAACTATCACGCAATGTTGTGTAATTGCTACAGAATATATTGAAATGAAATTGCAATAGTGAAAACTCAAGCTAAACTTGGCAGAATAAAAAGTATATGTAGTAATCACACCGACTTTTCAGTTGTGCTTATTATTTATCGAGATTTTAATAGATTTAAATTTATTTAAATTTGTTTCTTGTAACAAAAAAACATAAGATTATAATAATAACGATCGTAAAAAATGTTTTACTAGAATAGTTTTTACAAAATTGTTAAAACCGTATAAAAATTGTAACTATGTAAAACTATATAAATTCTTTTGCAAAATGGTAATATAATATAGTATTTCTATTACATTTTATTTATATATTAGATTTTAAAATTCTTGACAAGCATAAACATGTGCCTTTGAATTAATAGCAAACACTCATTAACTCGGTTTGAACAATAGCCAAATTCTCTTGTTTAATGAATTACTAAAGCACGTTCGCGGTTAATGCGCCACATTATTCACAAGCCCTTGATTAGTTGATCTGCTTAATAATTATTATATTTCAATAAATATTTGCTGATCATAAATACTTACTGATGAATTTTTATCTATATTAGTTTTGTGTAAAAACTGTACTCTCTTTAAAATTTTATCACGATTTTAATATCTCATAAATGTATAATACATAATAAAAGTCAAACACACATACACATTTGCGGTTAATAATATAATATCTATAATTATATATATTTTATATTTATAATAATATAATTTATTAACACATTTATAACTACGCGATTATTATTGTAATCTATTAAGAAATTAATATATCTATTAATAGCGGGGACACAATTATTTTATCGATAATATTAATTGTCAATTTAATTGAGAATCAACAAAATTGTTTTGTGCAAAGCCAGAATATTCGAGATAGCCGAACATGCAATGCTATAAACGTGCATTTATTATTATACTTCTTAGAAATCTATATCCTCCACTTCTGAATAATGTTGCAATAAAAAGAATTATATATTTCGCACGATTATATATAGGTTGAGAGACTCTAATTCGTTTTTTTAATAGCGAAATTAAATTTCTCTCATATCTTTGAAACTATCACGCAATGTTGTGTAATTGCTACAGAATATATTGAAATGAAATTGCAATAGTGAAAACTCAAGCTAAACTTGGCAGAATAAAAAGTATATGTAGTAATCACACCGACTTTTCAGTTGTGCTTATTATTTATCGAGATTTTAATAGATTTAAATTTATTTAAATTTGTTTCTTGTAAAAAAAAACATAAGATTATAATAATAACGATCGTAAAAAATGTTTTACTAGAATAGTTTTTACAAAATTGTTAAAACCGTATAAAAATTGTAACTATGTAAAACTATATAAATTCTTTTGCAAAATGGTAATATAATATAGTATTTCTATTACATTTTATTTATATATTAGATTTTAAAATTCTTGACAAGCATAAACATGTGCCTTTGAATTAATAGCAAACACTCATTAACTCGGTTTGAACAATAGCCAAATTCTCTTGTTTAATGAATTACTAAAGCACGTTCGCGGTTAATGCGCCACATTATTCACAAGCCCTTGATTAGTTGATCTGCTTAATAATTATTATATTTCAATAAATATTTGCTGATCATAAATACTTACTGATGAATTTTTATCTATATTAGTTTTGTGTAAAAACTGTACTCTCTTTAAAATTTTATCACGATTTTAATATCTCATAAATGTATAATACATAATAAAAGTCAAACACACGGGGGGAGAAAAACATTCGCGTGAATGAAGGGATAATTTTTTTTTCGTATTTTGCAAGTACGCCGCTTTGGTTATGGCGCTGTCGTAACATTAATATTTGCAAATTTTATCTTCGCAAGAGCACCTAATGTCACAGAGGCCTGCAGATATCGTTGAAATAAAAGAGAAATACGTTCCACGTAGACCGCATTGCCTCATGTAGCGAAAGCATTAAAAAAAAACAAAGTATCCTTTTTCTTTTCCATCTGATTCCATCGCACGTGTCGTAAAACGTAATACGCTCTTCAAATGGTCATAGAAATGACTTTGTGAGCGCTCTGTGAACCGGCGCTCGAAATTCGCCAAATAAACCATAGCCGGAGAAAAAATACATGGTTGATGTAATTCAATTATGTAATTCTGTTACTGAACTGTATTTGGCATTGTACCTTTGCAATGCCAATAGCATGATATAATAGTGATTAGTCTAATTAGTAATTGCTAATTAGGTACGTGTGTAGCTCTTATCTCACGTACGTGTGTAGTTCTTATCTGACAGCAATAACTTATTTCTTGTAATTATATACATGTTTATAAACAGAAAAGAAGAGGAACGTGGAATGTTTCTAAAAAGCGTATCTAAATTCTAAAAACATCTAAACATATTAGTCGAATAAAATGATCTTTACACAACACTACTTTTAGCGAAATACATAAACACATTACATGGCTTTTAATATTCTATATATTAGAACACTTACATTATCGGAGGAAAATTACAAAAAAAGTACTGTCGTTATAGAGGTAGAAACTATGTCTGTACTACGAAAGTAACGCGAGTTAAATATATAGAGATTTACGATAGCATGTTTTATTCGCCGGCGGCGATCCGGATTGCGAAAAATGAAAACGGAATTTCAACATCCGGCGCAGTTCGCCACCGGCGAGAAGCGTCTCCGGATCCTCAGAATGTTCCTACACTTGCGTTATCAATGTCAACGGAATATCTGCATTCGCGGGACGTCAGCATCGAAATTCCGCTTACAAAAAAGATGCTGTTAAACGCGCACAAAAGCTACAATTTTTCGAAATCTCGCGTAAGAAAAGGACAAGTCAACTAATTAAAAATGAAATATAAATTAGCTCCATTTTAAACTTTTGAGGGATTAACTTAGAACGTCAACCGCTAGATAGCATATATACAATTTTTATTCTTTTTATTAAGTGATTTTAAACATACGTTTTGTCTGGCTGATTTTTCTTCTACTTGATAAATGAAATTACTGGACTAAAGATTTATTGTCATGATTTGTGATTGGCTTAATCTTGCTATACGCACAGTAGCCATATCTTTCAAGTTCGACATCTTTGCCAGACGGAGAAAAAAGTCGCGGTTTATTTATGGCGTGAGACATTTATATCTTTTTGTCGTAACCACGATTACGTTGAAGAAAATTCCGTGAAATTAATTAACGCGGGTCGATACGTGAAGCGAGATCGTCGATTGCGGATGGAGTTTCAAGTTGAACCGTAATTATACGCGACTTGGAACTCTGGAATCGCGCAGTCAGAGTAACGTGACTCTGAAATGTATTAATAAGGCCAAAACTATCAAATTCGTCTACGCTTATCGTTTATTAGTGACTGCAACAAGCTTGCTACATATGGCACTAAAATATGGAAAATTTTGAAATGCTTACAAATAATGTAAAAATATATCTGTATAAAAATATTCTAATATTACATCAATATTTCTTTTAAATACACACAGACATTTTACTTTGGAGAAATTAAAAAGTTATTAAATTTTGAGCTTAATAATTCTAACTTTTAATTTTCTGACGAAATCGTTTTTTTTATGGCAAAGCATCGTTTCTTTTATGAAAAATATCTTTTAATTATATGTTTTTCATTTTGATACAATACGAGCATGCTCGAGGGAAATTCCTTAAAATTTACCGCATTCATTGCCGACGTTTTTTATGGTGGCACCGCCAAACATCCTTACGGGTGTTCTGCTCCAAGAAATCAACATTAACGAATCACTTATAGGCGGGCTACCTCTGCCTAGTTGGCAGCGAAAGTAGGACAATTTCATTAACTGTAAACCCAAGGGATCATCCAACGGTTTTCCGGATAGGCTGATTTCTCCGATCAAGTCATCGACAAAAGTTATCGCATTTCTACGAATCGGTAATATTTCCTCTTTTCGTGTGCCGTTAGCGATATTTAATCGATACGGCGAAATGGTTGAGGAACTCTGCTGAAGGATTTTGCGGGACCAATTAGGATTGAGCGCAAATTGCATCGAAATCAGTCTATCGAGTGCACGCGCCGCTCTGAGATTCGAATCGCGCCTTGCCATTTTCGTCCGCATTGCCGCGACAAGGGGAACCATGGCTTGATCCGTAGTTCCATTGATTGATCGAAAGGGTCTTTGATGGCCGCTATCGAGAGAATCGAACGCCGAGGCCAGCAGAAAATTAAAGCCCAAGACCGAACCCTCGATGCCCTCTTCTAGCCCTTTATCGAAGTCCGTATATTCTTGACCTAAGACGATATCGCCGCCTCCCGGAATCACGTGTTCGATTATCTGTAAGATAATCTTCTGTTGACAATCTTATGTGGCGTATCACACAAAGAACAATTTAGAAAAAATAAAAATTTTAAGTCGAAGATATCAGTAACCGAAGTCTGCATTTCATAATCTGAATTTAGATTATACGAAAGTATCTTTATGCGAAAATTTATAGATATTTTAAAAGGATGAGTACAATTTATACCTCCTCGAGATGACCTTGCAACTCCAAATGCCCGTCAAGCCACAGGGCGTAACGACCGACCCGATTCTCCCAGCTTTGACATATGTGATACCAGCGGTGCTCTTGTATACGAATCGACCTTCCAAGTACCTCCACGCCGCCGATTTCCAGATGAATGCTTCTTCCGCGCGATGATATCCAAGATCGAATCAAACGTTCCCGCTCGTTCCCTTTGATGCAAAAGAGGATTATATTTGCACATTGCTTTCTCGCGATCAAAATGCAACGAGACATATAAAGCCAGAATTTATGCATTTGGCGCGTGCATTCTAAATCTTTCTCGTTAATAATTTCATACGATTTTAAGAAATTAAATGATTTTTTCATTCGCTCAATCCTCTGACAAAACTAATTTTTTTTACATTTATAGTTTTAAAATTGAGAAACAAATTTTATATCACTTAATTTTTTATGACACGTTCAGAGATAGCTTATATCTCCTTATAATACGACAACATATTATTATACAAGAAGATTGAGATTTTCGTGGAACAATTAACGAAGTGACATTTTCCATCAAGAATGTGAGATAGCTTTCTCGGCTGTTTCATCATAAATATTCAAACGCTGTTTACATCGGAGAGTAGTTAAATCTCGCAAAATTTCGTAATTCGAGCAATTAGCGTTTCATCAGGGAGACGCAGTTTAGCACGTCTAATTCTTACACATAAAAGGGATAATGCCGCGAGGCAACGTATATCCATTAACATACTATTAAATTGCAATGAAGTAGCACACGCAGCACGCACTACGTGCAAGCAAAAAGACGATTTTCCGTGAGCGAAGATACTTTTCTCGTTACGGCTTTCCACGGGAAAATGACTCTTGTGTAACTATTCGTTGAATGCCGGAGTAGATAATAGCAGCCCCATGTAAGAAAACGGTCCTCATTACTGTCTCAAAGCGGTTAAAACAATTCGAAGATAGAAGTGGGAAATAGTGCTGAAACGCCATGAATATGGGCACCTATTATCACTCATTTGCAGATATTGCACTTGTCTCGATGTAATTCCACACTCATATAACAATATGCAATATAATGCATACTGTTATCTTTTATAGATTTATAGTCTTTATTTATAGATTTAAAATTGAAAAGCAGTTTTTATATCTCTTAATTTCTTATATACATATATGTGACATTGCTTACCTCATAATTAAATTATCAAACTTGTAAGTCTCTATTTCCTACATTTTACAAAAATTTCATTTACAACGGGAATGTTAAATTAAAATTTCTTATTGATAATGCTTACTCGAATACGAAAAGATCGAGTGTGGATATTTGAGATCAGTTGACTTCATCCAAAGGCAGAATGTAAACTCATGAATCTCCGGCACGGGTATTGCCCATCTGAGAAACTAAAAAGTGGGGATAATTAGCTCACACATTGTGTGTTGCTCCACGCTCCCCGCTATTTAATTAGAGCGACACTGAGCGATACAAGGTGTTTCAGATATTTAATTATCATTTTTCTTAATATTTATATTTTCTATTTTTTAATTCTTTAATCGATATAAAATTAAATTTTTTTTAAGAGAAATTTTCTAAAATTCTTACAATGTTTTTAAACAAATTTTATTAGATATTTTGAAATTTAATAAAATTGTTTTAATAAAATTATAATTCGAAAGAATTAATCACAGAAAAAATATTCAAAGAGATGAAAAAAGAAGTGTAAAAGAAAATTTATACTACAGAAAGTTTTTTATTTTAGGAATCAGTCGAAGAGAATAAGCATAAATAAAAGAAAATACAGAAGATTTGAAATAGCTTGTATATGTAGAAACGAGTTTATAATCAGGACCGACGTATTTTAGAGTAGACGATAAAAATTAAGCAATCAATGTGAAACCAATTTCTTTTCCACGTGTTATGGAATAATTCTCTTTTGCTCACGTAATCGATAGAAATCTCGCGATTTTCCATGCTTCGTTGAAAAATCTGTATCCGTTATATTCGACAACGTATCTATTTAGCATTATTTGCCCCCCTTTATTTGTTAGCTTTTTACTCTCGATACATATTTGAATTGAACACAGGATTACGGAATATTTCACTGCGCAATCTATAGCCATTTACTTGGTTAATCGAGCATTTCAGCGAAGTTACGAGAATTTCTGCAGGGAATTAATGCAGTTAAACAGGAAACGACAAAATTTGGTGTCTCTCGAATTATTTCTCACCTGAATGTAGCCCTTTTGCGTCAATTCGACACTGTGCATCGGAGTGCTGTCGACATTCTTCTCGGCGTCGACAAGTACAGTCGAAATCCCTAAAATCGCCGTAATAAGCGAGCCTAAAAAGACGGAGAATGAAAAGAAGAGAACACTAATTCCGAAGTTTGTCGCGAATTTCTTCATTCTTATCTTATCATCGCTCTCGTTGGGTCTAACTGCTATTTCTTTAATTGCTTCGCAGCAAAAGTTTGCCGTTTAGTTTTTACACAGTATTGCTTTGTCTTCTTTTCACAGGGTTTCTCTTCCTCTCTCTCTCCTTTTATCTCTCGCACTTGGATGCAGCCCTTTAATTTTAATCTTATTCCACGTCTATTTGATCGTGCTCACGAAAAGAGGATTGTCTTTCGCCGTTACATCTGCTCAACTTTTCTTACCAACTTTTCCTGCTAATACTCTTTTTTTTTGCACGCGGTGACGCAGGTTCCTTTTTCCTCTCGTCCACCCTTTTTTCCCATCGAACTGCAAAGAATTGTCTAGCATCTCCCCTCGTCTGCCAAATCTATCTTGCACTCGCTGTATGGATTTTTTTATTAATTGCGAAATCTTTTTATTTTGTTTCTCGCACAATTTTCTCGTAACTTATCTTTTACTGATTGATAGTTTTCGCGATCGGAACAACGATAAGTGGATTTTCTTCTTATGTCATCCACGCTCGCTATTAAATTCTTAGAGGGTGAATTTTCTATACCTACAACCGAAAAGTAAAGCCAGCATGAACGAGAAACTATAAACTTTTCGTGGCGTATGCTCTCTTGACACTTGATATATTTGCTGAAGAATGTAAAGGTACTTCGCTGCCGACTCTCTTCACTCGATGTGTGATAGCTTTCATGGTTGAAAGCACAAAATGCAGCGATAGTCCTCTCTCCGACCTTCCTTTCTCATTCGCGCAATCAAAAGCCTCGACAGAACTCTGTTGGTCCTCGTTTGATGATCTCTATAATTAAAAGGACGCAAAGAGTGGAAAGACGGCCCTTTAACAGCTTCTCTGGATTTCTCTTCACATCCCGTGTAGACGTGCAAAAATCGCGAAAGGAAAAATATTTATCTTCCTTGTCTCTTCATTCGACTTATGATCGATGCCTAGAAAAGCAATTATTTTTTCCTTTCCACTTATTGTCGCTGAGTTGTGTTATTTATTACGAAGAAAGATGCACATGAATCACTAAAGATAACCGAGTAATTTTCCTCAGAAAAGAAAGTTTACTTCTCTTTCTTTCGATATTATTCTTACAATCGATCTCTGTCGCTTCTCGTTAATTAAGAGCTCTCTAATTTCGATCTATTCTCTCTAGAATCGACGAATCTATCTCTTTCTCTCTTCTCTTTTTTTTTTGATCGGTTCGCCCAACGAGTGAAACGACTAGCCGAACTCACGACAACGGTAAACAACGACTAAAGCGAAATCGATGTGAATCGGTCGAGCACAAGCACGCGAGTACGGAGTGGAATCGGTAAGAGGGAGGACCTTTCCTGGCAGTCATGGGTTAAGGCGGCCCATTTTAAGTCTACTGCGCACGACGTGTAATTTTTACCACTATACAAAGAGATGACGAGATTGTCGAAATCGCCCGCGTATGAATTGTGAGATAAATATATCAGGAAAATTCGCAAACACACACAATCATCTTATTCCAGATATATTGAGTATAGTTGATCTATAAGTTCAATAATATTTACTATATAATATTTACCACCCCTCCGTGTTTTCCTTAATAATCAATTTTTGACACAGCGTGAGTTTTATTTTCTTAAATTGTTATACACACCATCATATGCTTGAACGTACGTGCATTTTACTGTATGATCGATATGGGAAAGCTGATCTTTCGTGGAAAGTTATTCAAACACGCAGTGCAGAATAAGCGAGATGATACGGCAAATAACTTAAACATTCCATGCCGCAAGCAGGAGCGGAATTACAAACGCGCTTTATTGCGCACGTGAATATCTCAGAGTGCATTTTCTTGAAAGTTAAGCAGGGAAGAGTTCAAGGCCTTATTATTAACTCGCGTGCCATTTAAAAAAAGGATACGTATATAAATACTTGTAACAAATACCTATAAATAATTTTTTTCATTTAAAAAAATTTTAGAATTTTAAATATTATTATTTGGTGATAGAAAAATTAAATTCACGACTAATTAAATTCACTATTAATCAAGCTTGATGAAAGTTTATATGCGTCAGGAAATCGATGCGTAACATATGCGTTAAAGTGATCGTAAAAATGCCCACATCGAAAATACATTCTGGAAAGTTAACGTTAACGGTACCGAGTCTTGGAAACCTGTTACGAAAGCGCTAGCCTTGGAGAGTTACTCGTATAACGAATTTACGTGGATAAGAATCTACCTCGACAATTCTCTTTGAGATAGCAGTCCTGAATAATCATGATAGAAATTTCAATTGTCTGCAAAGATCTACCGTATCTGATGCCGACATGTTCTAAGAAAAGACGAATAATTTTAAGCGTAAAAACATATACCACAGCTCGAACCAAACTTATTGTTTGCCGTTTCAGAGACGATAGTTTGTGACATTGTCGCATCAATTGTCAGTTGCACGTCAAATTAAAATTCGCGATTGTCACCTCGCTCGGTGTTTGAAAAATGATATATAAATGAATTTTCGAATTATCGGCGCGTAAATCACTCATCTTTTTTTTTTCTTTGCTTGCAGACGGCCAAGAACTCGACGTCCGGTAGCGGATATTACGTGGGCGGAAGCAGCACCCTGCCGCGCGGTGGATCGCTCCTAAGGGCGTACAGTCCGGCGGCGTCGAGCGTCGGAGGGCCGAACGCGACGCCGACGCAGCCCAAGACTCTTACCACACCAGGTATACGAATGCCCATGTTCTCTTCCTCTTTCCTATTCCCATACATACATTTATATGTCATCGCGTTATGTATGGACACGGTGATAACTGACTGTTCGCGATCGACGAATTCACACGCTCGAGATCACCAATGAGCGGCCCAATAATGTTATAAAAATCATTTTTTTCTTCTCTCTTAAATTCTCGATGTATGAAATTTGTTGATGTATGAATATTGTCTTAAATCAAAGAACATCTCACATTGTAATTAGATTAAACGATAAATTAATTGAGAATTTTTTTTTACAACTCGCAAACTCTTTTGTGCATATATCGCAATTACAATTTATAATTAATCCTTTTTAAATTATTATATATAATATATATGCACGTATCGGATCACGTTTATGGATGAAACGATTAACTTGTGAAATGATTTTTTTTTCAAGTCATATATTTACAATGAAACCCGCGCGCGCTTATACATCTAATGTAGTAGACAAGATATCACTTAAAAACAACGCTTTTGGACCGCTCATTTACATTGACGAGAATTTATCGCCTCGCATTCTCTGTACATTTCTTTCATGCCCGCACACTAATGTTCTATGTAATATAGAATCATTGGAACATTCTTTTTTCGAAATCTACATGCGCACGCTCTGCATAACTTCACATTCCCTCAAACTTCTTACGTTAAGTTGACCAGAAACGTGAAATCTTTGAAGTTACAAAACAAAGCAGGTTTGTAAAATAAGATTTTAACATCGGATTTAATCCTTGTTAAAGTTTCGCAAGGAACTAAAAGTTGATAATAGACTGACTGTTCTTGTTAGTCAAAAGAATTGTATTTGACTCATATATAAAATAGATTTTAATATTGTAAAATTCTGGTTGTCTTAATGCAATTAACATGCTTAATTATTTGTCTACAATTCTGACAATCTTTACATGACGTACAAAAAAACATGAGAGAACTCCTTTTATTGTTTTACCTATAAAAATTGGTCGAATCGACTATTAAGTTAACTTATTTATTTTTTATTATTTATTTATTTATTTATTCTTCTATTCATAGCGCAAACATTTAGAAAGATATTTTAACGATAATTATATTGTTCAAAGTGTATCAGCTTTATAAGTTCGAATACTTTTAACTTTAATTTGAAAATTGTTTAATATTTATCGTATAATATTATATTATATAATATTTCTCGTATAATGTAACTATTTGAATTCGTACAATGATTATTTGTGAGTTTTTTTAAAAGCTATATATATAGCATTTTAGAATTATTTATTATATTTATTATTAATTATAATTCTGAGAGAACATTATTTTTGCGGTACGATTGACTGACAAGGAAAGATCGATAAGCGCGTGTTGAAACTACAGAAAGGGTTATTTTTAATTTAATTTAATGATTTTTCCTCTGAAACTTTCTTCTGACTCGACCAATTTTTTTCATCGCATTACCCCATGCTTTAAGCTTAACGCGCATACATCCGCACACAGACGCACGTACACGCGATCCGATCGACGGTTGCAAGGTCGTTTCGATTCTTGATTATTCAACATCTGAAATCGTTACGACTGTCGGCGTTGGCCAAATGCTCTACTCGGGATGACTCAAAAATATTTAAGCTGTATGCCAGTCCAAGGGAAAGGATGGCCTCATTCTGGTCGCCATGAACGTTCTCCTTGTTGTCGAGAGAAACGTTTTGCTTTAACAGATACTGAGACGCCGAAAAGAACCGATTCAGGACGCGTGAATAACTGATCGTAGACCAATTACAATTAATCATCGACCACTATGTCGAGACGAATCTATCTTACAGAATAAAACCTTACTGTTAGCCCGATGAATCGATTTTATTAGACGAAAGCAAAAAAGACATTTCTCTTGACGCTCCGCGATTATTGTAACGTGATCGAGAAGTGCATATATGTAAAAGTCGACAAGCTGTCGCATCTAAATTTCTACGGACATTCGTAATCATTACGCGTTCATTACAAAATTGTTGTGAAAATGTGAGTGTGATAGCCATGGAAAAATCTTTAAGAGACGATTATTAATTTTATCACGTCCGATCTTTTATTCCGCTTGATAATCGTGCGCAATCGCAGCTCAGGAAATACACGATCGAATCACACATATATTCGAAATTATCAAATGTTTATATATATATATATATATATATATATAGGCACTATGTAAATTTGAACGTTAATTCTCTCTCTCTTCGAGAAATTGGCGAAAAGACATCGATAACGACCGCGCGGATCGAAATCCCCTCTTGTTCACTTCTGCATGTGCACTGAACGTCGAACGGCTTAGCGAGGTGGCAGAGAGATACGTGCTTCGGAGCACCTGGGTACATTGGTTTTTTGTTTGGTTTTTTGGATGGTTGGATAGGTGGTGGCGGGGTGCCGCCGGCCAAGCCGCTTCGCAGCTACCAGTGTGGTAAGAGTCCCCTTGGAAGCCTCGGGGGCTCGGCGCGCTTCTCTAGAGACAGCTCGGTCTCCCTCTATAGTATACCAGGTCAGTAGTATCCTTAAACATTCGTCAGACACAGCTCGATCCTTCCGCAATGGGACGACGATCGATTATATTTTTATCTGCTTTGTTGAAAATCGACTAAACTCTGATGTAAAGTTTTAAAATTGAATATTTTTTATCTGTAAAATCTAATTAGCTGTTTATTACTAACATTGTTAACGATTAACAATTATATGCAACTTACAACTAACGATCATAGAAAGGTATGCTTGTATAAATAAATAAAATAAAAAAATGACTTGTCCCAAACTGATAATAAATTTTTCTCTCGGTCACGAGCAGTAGATTGGACAACATCGTTAACAATTCACAGGGGAAATATCGAACCGAACTGAAATGTTATAATCTACTGACGATGGAGCAACGGATATGCATCGAAAAACGTATACGCGATCAAATCACGCAGCCATATACACACACTTGCGTTTGATACAATTTCCGGTTAAGGACTTTCATCGTGATGCAATTTGTTCCGAAACGAATACGTTGTAAACAGTATACCTTGTAAATTTTGAAACCGTGCAATCAACGAACTGAACTGTGTTCGAAGCGAAATAGAATCCAATTGAAACACAAAATACAACTCCGTTTTATTTTTTAACAATATGGAGATGATAATTTATCGTTGCTTCCATTGCGATTCAAGAAAAATTCAAGTGATAGATAAATCTCTGTCAGTTTTATGCACAGACCATTTTGACGCATGAGTTAATCTTTCTTTGTTTGTTCAAAATTTTATATATATTTTATAGAAGTAAATTATTGGGGATGGAATAAAAGACCGATATGCAAACTATGAATGGAAATACGAAAAACTAAAAATATTAAAAATATTTTAGTATAACATGACAGAAAGAATGTGGATTCGTAATAAGGACAAGCTTCAACACAAAAGTGATTTTGGTTGTTTGGAATGCAATAACCGCAGGAAAACCATGAAATTGGCAGTTGCGATTAGCCAAGCCGGGCCGAGCCAAGTTTTAATTAAACGACCTCGAGACCGTGGAGATAGTGTTGGGAATAGATGGGAACGGATAGATTGAATCGAAACGTTTTGAATTTACGCCGGTGAACTTTGAATGCTATTGGCATATTGCGCAAAGAAGAAGAAATTGAAATTTTATCGGATGTTGTCTCGGAAATTGAACCTTGAAAGATCCGAATAATTATCCAATGCAAATTTTTTATTGTGTTTCATATTAATTTATTTTTTTATTAATCATACGAAAATTAATCAGATATGTATACTTACGATGCAGTGCTTATTATAAATAATGTGTATTAATTTTCTAATTCTTATTTGCGATTAACAAAATCCTTTGGAATTCTAATTATGTTTAAAAGTGAGACACATGTTTGCGTTATACATTTTGAAATGTTTTCGAAATTGCAATACATATAGTGCATTTTAAATTTTATTTCAAAATTCATCTTTATTTCCTACTAATGTTTTTTTTTCAAAGACGTTTGTTTTCAACATACAAGTGCATTTAAGAAATTCTACTCGTGTTATAAACATTGTCTGAGTAATCTCGCCCTTTTTAATATTATGATCATACATATAAAACGCGTATTATAATTACAAAGTTATAAAGTAAAACTCGATATATTCCCAACATTAATAGCTAAGCTTCTTAAGAACCTTTAGAAACTTCTTACGTATGTCGCCTGCCTTCTACAACGCTATGTGATATCATAATATACAAAAAGCAGCATCTCCTCTCATTCCATTTTTCATCCGTTCTCGTTGTCATTCGAGAGTCGTAGATTGTGTACCCTTCCATAAGAAGCACGATCATGAAGAATCTTTCTTCTTCACCCTCCATCATGATGACTGATAAACGACTCTCATTGATACAGTCCCTTGATCGTAATTTCATTTGCACATTTGCGCATCACGAAACTCGACGGAGGTATCGAGCCACAAACATATAACAATGATGAAGATTAGTTTGAAAAAAAATATCAAGCACAAAGATATTTTGCATAGAATAAACGAAAAATTTTAATGCTGTGCAATTAATTTTTTATTATCAGCTTGTTAAACAAATTATTATTGATATTTTATTGATCTATATATTTATCTTTTATTATTTATATTACAAGATAAATATTTTTTTATATATCTATATACATGACATATATATAATATATACATTAAATTACTTAAGATTTTATATTTTGCTGTCAGTATTTTTTGTATATTTAATCATTGTTATTGTAAGCTCCGCTATACATAGAAAAAACCAGCCATTGTTTTTTTCCAACTAAACTAGTATAACAATATAACAATATAATGCAATAATGTAAGAAAAGATAGCTTTAATGGATATTTCTGGCTTTGACTAACATAAATTATTGATTTAAATCTTCTCAGATCGACTACACGGAGAAAGCGGATACATGAGCAGCCCTGAACGTGGTGGCGGCGTCGGTTCCGGAAGCGGAAGATATCCACCCGGGCCTTACAGCGCCAGTAGCAGTTACGAAGATCCATATTATTCGCAATATTCGGGCACCGTTACTCCCGTTATCGATGAAGAAGCCAGGTAATCGGATTTTCACGCATTTCCGAACTAATAATGAACCGCGATTGCACTTAATTGCAGTTCACAACAATTAAAGAGACACATTGTGCTGTGGCTGTAATTAACGAAATTTACATATTTGAGTATCTCAGATTTCCAATTCTTTTTATCCAATAAATTGCTATATAAATCAATCTGATCGTTAGATTAATTTTTATAAAAGTGACATAACTTTTTGAGGTGTATGATTTAAAATGTAGTTTATTAATCAAGTTTCAAAAAAGTGCGAGTGAATAAAATGGTTTCAGTTTTTATTCAATTATAAATTTATATGTTTATATAATATATTTAACAAGATTATGAGAATTTGTTATGGAATTTATATTTGGCCGGTATATAGTTTTTCAATTTAAAATTTAATAATTTGTAAGTTGATGAATGTATAAATAAAAAGAAATGTAGGAAATCTAGGATGCTGTATGTAAATAATAAAATATATGTAAATTTCCACAGGGAAAAAGTAGCAGAATTTATATAACCGATAACGACGAAAGAAAGTATTGGATATCTCATCACGTTGAAACTCACTTCATTCGCTTTATTGGCATACATATTTTATTTACGTAGAATATATTTTATCATGCTGCTCAAATATATACCGGAACTGGTTGAATTTATTAAAAGTTGTGAATAGTTACAATATTATTAACACAGTCGCAAATTTAATATGGATAACGGATATTTTGTTCCGGCAAATTATTGATCGAGAAATAAGTGCACGAATTAATTTGTTAAATATATATAATGATGTCTTTAATAAGAACTCCGATATAGTATATCCAGTTCGCGTAAATTTTACATCTGTCGAAAGATTTTCCATAAAGTCAGGAACGCGCACTCTGCCCGGGTGAATAAACTCCACTCACCTGGAAACCATCCCTGCCCATCCTCTTCCTTTTTCCGCTTAATAACGACCCCCATGCCAGCAAAACGTTGTCGTCTCTGTTTCCAACGTCTCGTTCCACCCTAGACGACAGGCCAACCTTCTTCACTCTATCTCTCTCTCTCTCTCTCTCTCTCTTTTTCTCTCCTCTTTTTCCCCATTACTGGTCTCCGCACCGTCGTTCCTCCACTTGGATGTCTGATAGCGCGGATGTGTATGTCTGTTGTGGGTGGTGCAGCGATACGGAGCTGTTGGAGGAATCGTACAGCCTTTACGGCGTGAAACCACCGGGGCGTCCGCCGTCTGGTCCCCCGCGGTCCCCATTCCCTACGGGGGCGGCAACCCCCCTGCCATCCGGCGGACAGGGCTACGACGCTACTCGGTACTGCACCCACGTATCGCACACACACACAACTCGTGTCTCGCCTGCGTGTTTGTGTTGCGTAAAGCGTCTGCCTGGCTGTGGAATAAAAAAAAAACGAATGAGAAAAAAAAATATAAAACGAGAAAGAAAAAAAGAAAGGGAGAATATATAAAAACCGACCACCAAGAATGGCCGGCTGGTTGTCTAGCTGGATGCTTATGAATGAATACGGGTTGCACGAGTATCGTTTCGAGCGTACTTCCCTCTAAAAGCAGGACAGTGGCGAATCCGGGACTCTTCCATTGGCAAATGTCTTTCTTAATTTCGAGAATTGGTTGTATGTTTCTCGAAATGTAGTCACAATTAACGATGATTTTATTTTGATAAATTTTTCTAAATAATAACATAGATGTTATCTAAAAGCTTTCTAGGAAATTAAATGATTCAAATAATTTATCTTACTTTTGAGGAGGGAGAGAGGGTATCTGGATTTCCCACTGAAACGGAGGTGAATACGTTTAACGCTGTTATCTTAGGATGCATGGTGAAAAACGTCAGATATGAAAGACTTAAAATAATTTCTTTCATGTTTGATTGATCATAAATTAGATGTATATTCATTTTCAGCTGTTACTATTATTAGGTAAACTTTAAATTTTGTGAAATATGAAATGTTATGATAACGTTGATACAATTAAAATCATTTTTTTTTTTTTTAATTTTGTAACTTTGATAAATTTTTTTATACGAAATTATATAAACTCCATAGTATTATAAATTGAACAAGATTTATAATTCGGTTAACAGTGATATAAACGTTTCTTTCATTATAATACGAATATTATTCATAAATATATAGAATTATATTTCCTGCCCATTTTGAGATAACATGATCCAATTAGTAACAGATTCATTTATATTGAAGAAGACGGTCGATGAAATTTTTTCCTGTAACTCGTTATTTCACGGATAAATGGAATATTTCCAGTTATTTAATTGCTATTCGAAGCCTGGATATTAAACTGCAATATTGATCAGTATCTATCGCTATTCATTTATAAGGAATAGTAGCGTCACCCGAATCATTGTTCATCTTTCTTTTTTATTCATACCATTATACATTTCTAGTATTTATTATTTAATATCCTATATATTTATGTTGCCCATATTTTAGAGAACATTCTGCAATATTGATCAGTATCTATCGCTATTCATTTATAAGGAATAGTAGCGTCACCCGAATCATTGTTCATCTTTCTTTTTTATTCATACCATTATACATTTCTAGTATTTATTATTTAATATCCTATTTATGTTACCCATATTTTAGAGAACATTCCACATATACTATTGCAAAGTAATATCAATTATGCTCTCTACTGCTCAAGAACAAGATGTGTGTGTGTTATATGCCATATATATGTAAATATGCCATAATTAATTGTGACTCGAAGATTGTATATGACACATATAAAACTATATAACTTGTAACTTTCGGTGGAATGCAGCATGCCGATTAGCGATCGTAGACAAGAATGCATTGGTCATATACAGGGTGTTTTGCACGTACCACAGAAAAACGGATATACACAACCACGTATCATAAAATTATTAACATGCATTCGAATAAATTTAACGAATAACGTAACGAATAATTTTTTTATAGAATTCTTTACAATAATTTGCCCTGCAATAATGAACATGATGCAGTCAACAAACTGTCTTTATTGTCTCCTTAATACCATTTCCACAACAATCCGTGTCGCGATCATCAATATATCATGATATATCGTCATATTTTTATATTTTATAGATAATTATTCATTTTATATAAAATCCTGCTACTTTCCTTTATCTTTGCTTTGTTTTTGTATAAAGGTGATTAAATTTTTATACAAATAATTTGATTACTTAAATTGCATTAAATAACAACAATTTTAATGAAAGATATATTTTTTCTATTTAGTCAGTAATTACATCAGTAATAAAAAGTTCATACAATATATTAGAAACATTATATTATTATTTTTATTTAAAAAAGCTATATCTGTAATAAATCTTTATTAGCCACGAGGATGTTCGGAAGCTGTCACGAACATTCTCGTATGAAAACTTTCTAGACGGGATTTATACTCTATGATGGAATGAAGTACATATCGGAAAACTGAAATGGATTCTCTTGTCGGCCACACAAACCCTCTCGCACTTTACAAAAGTTATACAAGTTTCGAAATTGACCGCCATGAGAATCACGTAAACGATTTGATCCGTCGTGCGTCATATATATCACCCTGTATATCATTTTATGTACTGTCACCGTGACGTAGATTAGGCACTGCTGTCACTTGTCATGCAAAGCGATAGATGCACGTGATTAGCATCGTGTTATATAACTCATATCCGATTTCACCGACAAGAAATATACATTCGGGATGGAATTTTCAGATATAATGTTGTATAAAAAAAGAGTTTCCTGCATCGAAAAGAGTTTTACGTCCTTTCAGTGAGAACGGATATGTGTAAAATCTATTATCAGTTTTTATTATTATTTACATAACATAAAGTCTCTCGATCTCTTGCTTTAGAAATCAGATAATGCCATTTTATTAGATTATAAAAAAATAATGCTGAAGAAAATACGTGAGGTATAGATATAACATATATATTAATATTTTTTTATTGATATACCATTTTGTTTTATTCGCTGTAAAACATCATTTATCATCATTTTACGTGATATCCAGTTTATCATTACTATCTTCTTTATTACAATAATACAGTTTAAGATAAAATCCCGTTTAATATCAAAATTATTAGAAAGAACTTTGATTAGTTGATTAAAATATCCATTAGTTGATTAATTTAATAAAAACGGAGCTATTTCATTTTATTATGCATTTATCATACTTTGTGACGCATGAAATTGTCCAAAGAGATGATGATAGATAACATTTGTCCAAAGTTATGATTTTTGCAGCATTCACACGTTATCCATTGTCGAGAAAATAAATTCGAGATTCTCTCTTTTTGAAACGATAGATGTTGCTGAGATTAACAATATCATGGTATTTTAACCGAGAATTATCTGTCGCAGGATAAGAGTGGAGCACATGGAAAGACAGTTGGCCAATCTGACCGGTCTCGTGCAGAAAGCTCTGACACATGCTCCGCACACCAGCCCTTCGCCACGAGAATACTTGCAAGTCCCGCCAGGACGAGATCCTTACGCGAGAGCCGCAGGTACGTGTCCCGTAAAAATCATAGCTTTGTTTTTCTCTACGTTTCTTCTGAATTTTCTTTTTTCATCTAACATGCCATAGCATTGTTCTTCTTGGTTCTCGGTAACATACCATCGCGAAAGAATATGAACTTGTCTCTAAATCAGAAAAGATGATTTATTTCTTTCTATTAAACTTTTTATCTCTGATTTAACGTGATCTTCTTCGAATAAATAAATTACAACGATTTCATCTTTCTCGATAACAAGATTAAAAATTTACAAAATTTGACGACTGTTTTAATTCTGCATTAAAAAATTCTCAGCCGGGAAAAAATTCTTGTTATTTATATGTATGTAATTTACAACTAAGAATTGATTCTGTGCGATCTTTTCCTCTTTTGAAAAATTATATGCAAGTGAGATTATATTCTTACGGAATAATGAATAATATCCAAGAAGTCACGAAATAATTCTAAATATCTTAACGAATGAATATTAATCTTTTGCAAAAGAAAATTAATATTTTCTTTAAACTACGATATAAAATAATCACGTTTCATTCTAGATGAATTTAATAAAAGATTATAAATAAAATCATTCTTCTTACTTTTGAGACAAGTCGTGTAGATGCCATCATAATTTAATCTCAGCAAATTCTTTTCCTAACAAAGACGATCGATTTAGTGTTTAAGCGATGTTATCTCATTCAGTTTCTTCTATATATTTTAGTGCGTATTTTACAAAAGAGTTAGTGCATTCACTTAATTCACTAAGATAGTTTCAGCTAACAATAAGAAGCATATGAGAGACTGCTACACAGCTTATATATAAAGTAGTCTCTACTAATATTCATCTGTCCATTTCATCTGTGCCTGTTCATCTATCCACTTGATCATCTTTCGACCATTCTCAGACATCTCAAAACCACGGTTTTTAATAACATTATCATGTCTTAAACGTATTATTAAATCAATAGAAGCCGAAAACGAGGCGGCTACGCCGATCTTTTAATAGAATAGACTTGATAGTTAATAATTATAATTTCTTCTTTGATATAATTCAGATCATCATAGATAAGAAATTCAAAAAGAATGTAAATGTCAAAATGATAATTTCGATAAATAAAAACTCACTATTATTAAAACTATTTTACAATTATAAATACAAAAGTGAAGCACAGATAATAGGACTAGGAAAAAAATAATAAAGAAAGTATATATGAAAATGTATCAGCATATAAAAAATTGGCAAAAACTTTTGGCATTTGCATCATTTTGTATTTCCAGTCTTGAACGATTTGTAATAAACGTCGTAGTCGCCTTCTGGATAAGTCGCAATTCACTGAAACGACACAACTTTAGATATAAACGTGCGTATACATATGTGTGTTGCATACATACATGCAGATATACATACATATATATTGGAAGAATTTATGCCGTGAATTACGCGCCAGCAACAATATGCCAATTATTAATATCCAGCATATTTCGAAATGAAGTTGAAGCTGGAGATGTTCGGACGTATTATTTAAAAAACGCAGTATACTTTGAATATTCGTTGATATCAATAATATAATTTAGTTAGTATAGAACAAACAAAATGGAACAAAAAGTAACGAATTGCATTAATACATATATGCAGATAAAATGATAAATGAATAATTGATTAAAAAATATATTGCTATTAATTTATTTTATGTCGATTAATATCAAGATTAGAAATAATTCGCGAGCAATGTATTATAATCATATAGTTGTAGGATTTAATAAGAAGTGCAAGAAAAAATCTGAAGCTTGAAATTAATTTAAATCGATAAATAATTGTATACGTTGTTCGTTGCTTTCAACGGTATATTGTTGCTCGTGGCGATACAGTCTCACGGACTGAACTCTCCGAAACTACCCTGCTGTACAACTGCTTTGTTATTCCGACTAACGCACACACCAGGCGCCGGGGATGAGTTCGACAAACATTCTAGCTCCAGCTCTGCCTCACTGCCAGGTGTGTCTCTCATCTTCTTCTATCTTCTATTCACCTCCGAACCATTGTATAACCGCTTTACTTATATATACATATATATTATGATATATATCTTTATCTTTATTT